TTCCATTCCTAGTATTCTATGATTTAACAGAAAAATGACTGTCATTAAAGTGAAGTTTGCTTTTCGGTGTGCAGGGACACAAACACAGGGTGAAAGGCATTTGATAATACTACATAAAGGTGTAATCCACTGCCCATTGATTTAAATAGAAATCTGAAGTCTTATACTGCATGACAACTGTACTTTTCTGGGAACATAAGCACTATTATTCAATCTACCATTTCAGTTCTAATTTGGGCAAAAGAAGAATTAACTGAATGCAACATTTTCTGTCGTCAGTTTTCTATAGACTCACAACTGAATCTATATTGACTCTACAGGGATATGAGACATAACTCCTCAAAAGGACAGGGGTACCAGAGTGATACCATATGTTAGGAGAAACTCCCACTCTTGCATGCACATGGCATCTTTGGCTTTGCTCCAGGGTCTTTGATTCCCAGAGAAGTCAGAAACCCAAAAGCAATGAAGCCATCTAATGGTGCTATCCAGTCTACTTTGTATTTGTGATATTTGTAGTGCATTAGTGAACAGACCAAGACTAAAAGTAGTCTTTCCAAAGTAGGAAACTAAAAGGTTCTACGTTGCCAGAGACATCATGATCTTTTAAAGCTCCCATTGCCACCACGTTGCTATTCAGGACAGAATACTACGTACAAGCTGTTTATTTCAACTTATGGTGTCACTGAGGGCCACACTATGAACTTATTTAATTCAAGACATTCACTTACTCTATTTACTTGAAAGGGTGAAAAAAAAGGACATTTTTATCGTTACGTAACTGAGGAGCTCTGCTGTCATATATATTACATAAAGCTACAATCAGAACCTATCTGGTCAATTTCTTTCACTCTTTTGCAACAAGGCAAGCAAGCAATTCAGTTTTTTCAGAAGATGAAGGTATCATCCAGTGTACTGTTTCTTTATTAGATGCAAAGAATGGTCCTGTTTTGTTCTATATTTTAACTAGGGTGACCACATTTTCCCATTGCTGCTGTCATATATATTACATAAAGCTACAATCAGAACCTATCTGGTCAATTTCTTTCACTCTTTTGCAACAAGGCAAGCAAGCAATTCAGTTTTTTCAGAAGATGAAGGTATCATCCAGTGTACTGTTTCTTTATTAGATGCAAAGAATGGTCCTGTTTTGTTCTATATTTTAACTAGGGTGACCACATTTTCCCATTGCCAAATTTGGAACAGCGGGGGGGGGGGGGGGGGGGGGGGGGGG